ATGATCAGCATGTCTGGTAGCCAGACCAACATGCTGAACGGAGTAGGCGGCTCAGCTGGACCCCAAGAATGGGAATGGCTGACAATGAGTCTGTGATTTCACCACAGACGGGTTTTTCACTCCCACACCGAGGGGAGGTTAATGTGTGCTTAAAGCGTCAACATTCAACTTCTTTTGCTCGTGGGTCATGTCAGGGCTGGTTATTCTGGCAAAGGCTTGCCTTGCCTTTCTTGCATCAACAAAGCGACGACATGACGAATCTAACCAGTGTTTTTGGGTGGCGTTTTGGAGAACGCGGGGGCCATTTTATTTACGTTAATCTCACACGAGAACTTGATACCTCACATGGATATGGCGATACATGGCAGACTGTTTCTCTCGACTTACGGATTTTTTGAGGTCTGCCACAAGATGCGTTCATGTCTTGGGGCGTCAAAAAGCGATGAGCATATACGCCTGGGATGATGACAATACCCGCACTTGCGAGTTGGGTATGAACAATATGACACATAGGATTTGTCACGGTTCAACCTCTATGACTCGTCGAAGATGCTTGGCTAATATGGCGCATGGGACATGAGATGTGGCAGGCAGGAACGCATTTGGGATTATTGTTTTGGAAATCACTATAGAGATTGGACATGGGAACCTCGACGGCTTGGTTGCTTTTGAAGCGCACACTCAGGGCAGGTGCAAATACCCTTATTTTTGACGATAGATTACACACTCCCGCGCGCATTCGAGACGACATACTTTTCCACGTTCAATGATGGATGGATCCTGCAAGTTCGGTTAGATTTCTCGATCCGTATCGACGCCAGGGATTTCTTGTTCGGATCTCGCTGGTCTTTTGTTGCTAGGAGTGGTTTGGGTTGAGGATTCTGTCTTTTTCATCTGCTTGGCTTGGACGATATCCCACGAATGAATTGTATGCGGGAGGAGAAGAAGGGGGAGAAGAAGAGCATGAGTTAGACTGATGAAAGAGGAGTGAAGAGTGATTTCTGCTTCCCTGCTGTGCATTTTGGGTCTTGGTTTCTGTTTTCGCTGGCTCGCTCGGGATGAGAGATGAGGTCGTGGCGAATGGTTGGCTTTTTGTGCAACGGACGCGACAACAGCGGGTTGGGCTCGTCTTGTTTTGTAATAGAGATGCCTTAAGAGATACCTTTTTTCTTTGAGTAGTATTATTCTCACATTCACAAATTCCTCGGTATATTCAATATGACTGACTTTCCCTTGTGATCTCCGGAATGTAATGAAATTGACGAGAGCAAGAGACGAGGCAGTGGTTAGCTAATCAATCTAGTCGTTCCTTCATCCGTGTGATGCTTCATACCTAGCGTCTATGTAAGTAGTTATGTAGCGGCTTTCTCGGGATGCCGTCTTCAAGTGAAGAGAAAAACGTCGTTGAGCTTGTTATCAGGAAAGTATATATACACACGAGCAGAGAGTTCTAGTTTATGAATGGCCATGTCGATTCGGAACCTTGCCTATACACCTCAATCAGCCATACCTAAGTTTAACACGAGTACCTTGTGATATTGTCATCATTGTCATAATCATCATCATAATCATCAGAGGCGAGATGGCTTCGACTGGGAAGCAAGAGCCACTACAATCGTGATTCAAAGACAACGGACCCATAGAAAATCAACTTCTGAGAGGAATCACACTATGTTTAAAACTTATCATGATAGCATTTTCTCTCTATCTCTTTTGTTTCCTCCTCCAAGAGGGGATTCAGACAGCCCGGATGTTTACTCTCTTCGGCCATTATACCTGAAGCCTGATGGCGCCAACTCATGCACGCGCAGACTCCCTTCCTGGGACCCATCCAATACCGATCCCATTGAACTCCATTCGTCCAGCTGAAAGCAAAGCAAAGCGGTAGTGAAACATGTGGCGGGAAAGCGTCACATGATGATGGTACAGAAACGCAAAAAAAAGAAAAAGAAAAAGTGTGGAGAAGAAGAAAAGAAACAGGTTAGTTGACCTGTAGGCCACCTATCATTGACATCATCCATCCTAGAACACTCCAATTCGTTATCGTCTCTGGCAGTTAGAAGAGAGCCCTCCCGCGACTCACAAATCCCCGCCAGTCCAGCTTTCTGGGACTTAATTGCTCGTTCTAGAGCATGGTCCCGAATGTGTCATCTGTGGGGATGCGCTTTCGGGGACTGCCGCCATCCTCTGTGGCTGGTTTGCGGTGTCGGAAGGTGAAGCCGACAAAGAGGGCTTTGCTCATCTGATCATCGCGGTCGGCCATGGTCTCCAGGGCTTGTTGCTTCTCGTGAACTTCCTTATACTTGGCCATATCGGCTTCATTGCTAAAGTCGTCAAAGTACCCAGCGTCTGTCTCTGAGTCCAGCTCAGGGACAAACGGCGCCCGGGTCTCGCGAAGAGTCTCCCAATCGACCTCAGCGAAATAATGGTGGCCATAGATATCCTTGATGTTGGAGAAACGTCGCGACTTGGAGTTGATGCACCTATTGCGGGTTAGCGAACTGCGGTTTCAGGGATGACATAAAAACCCAGACTTACGTGCAGATGAAATTCCAGGTTCGGTTACTCAGGAAGTAGTTGGGGTCCTCCCACACGGGTCTCTTCAGCACTTCCTTCCAGTGCTTCAGATTGCGCCAGGTCTCGTCTGGGGTAGCACCCGCGAAAGGAGGGAAGCCTGTAAGAGCCTCAAACAACATGCAGCCCAGACTCCAGTAGTCAACAGTAAAGTCATATTCTTCCCCTCTAAGGACCTCAGGGGCCATGTAATCAGGAGAGCCCACAATGGACTTGGCGTAGTTGACGTCCTGTTCTCGCATGGTTCGGTAGCTCTCTCGTCGCTCACTCACAGTTCGCTGATCGATGGGCTTGCCGAACGGCACAGGCGTCTCTGAAGCCTTCTCCAACTTGATCCGCATCGACTCAATTCTCGACGGGGCCAGCATGCCAGCAGCCAAGCCGAAATCTGTTAGCTTAACGTGGCCAGTTGAATCGACGAGAAAGTTCTCGGGCTTGAGATCACGGTGAATGTAACCCAACTGGTGCAGAGCGTCGACTGCGCAGAACATTTCCGCGATGTAAAATCGAGCATGTCGGTTGGACAGCACACCAGTGTTGTTAAGCAGGGTGCGGAAGTCACCACCTGGCACATACTCCATCGCAAGGTAGATGCTCTTGTCATCCTGGAATGAGTACAGCAGCCTGACAAGCCACTCACTCTGGGCAGTGGTAAGAATGTCTCGTTCAGTGAGGACGTGTCGAACCTCGTCGAGCTTAAAGAGCAGCTTCTTGCTCATGACCTTGAGCGCGCAAACCTCACGCGTATCCTTCTTCTGGGCCAAAAAGACCTGACCGTAGCCACCTTGCCCGACCTGGGTCAAGATCTGGAAGTCACCCTGACGGAGTCTGACTCGACGCTTGCGAAGGTTCGCACGCTCTCGGCCGGCGTACTTAGACCACATTTGGTTATGTGTTTGTTCATCGGTCTCGGGAGGATCGGGATACTCTGACTTGAATGCGGCCAAACGGTTCTGTCGAGAGCCAACGTATGTGAGGAGATCGAAGTAGTAGTCGAGGAAGTCTGCGAGAAGTTAGAGAGTCAATTTCCTGTGCGAGTCGCGTGTTCCAACACGTACAAAGTTGTGTAACGTTGACCATACGTCGAACATTGGGCTTCTGAAGGATCTCGCGTTCTTCAGCAGTTAGGCCTCGAGATGTGTTAAACTTCTTGGCGGCGGGTGTGGTTGGCCGATCCTTGTGCTCGTAGTGCTGTTGGCGAGAGAGGGCAGCATGGCTATGCGAATGAGGCGAGTCCGTAGCGCCGAGACGGGACACAGGCGGGGTGTTTTCCTGGCCCTGCTTCTTCAGAGGACTGCTAGGCTTGGTCTTGTGGATGACGCTATCGTCAACGTTGACGCTCGACTCATCCAGGGACTGGGCATTGCTCTTGCCAGGTGAGAGCGGGGCAATTTGGGGGGGCCGACCCAGCTTGAGGGGGGACTCGATCGTCGGAGGGTTGAGGGACATGGCGTTATCGAACGCGCTGGGAAGATCATGGGCGCCAGGAGGGATAGTCTTCTTGCTAGGGCTTCCCTGGGGAGTGCTCGGGGGGTTGAGGAAGTTGTCGGCCTTGGTGGGTGTTCCTGGGCGGGGAACGGGCATCGCATCAGACGCGCCCTTTTCCTTGCCACCAGGGAAGAAGTTGGACATGAAACTCGCCATTGTGTCTGCTGATGAGTGGCTTCGGATAGGGCAGTGGGAAGAATTCGGCGGAAGAAGTGATGCTGCAAGGTACCCGTGTGTCGGGTGTGTTTATGCTGGTGGTTTGGGCAGTAAGCGGTCAGGTAACGGGGGGGCCAGCTGTCAAGGCTCAACAGGCAATGGCGGTGCAAGAATAGAAGATAAGGAGAGACGTTGACAAAGAGAGCTTCGTCCTCGACCAGGCCTGCGAGGCGATGGGGCAAAGGATGGATGGAGATCCAAAGCTGTGGTGGGAGTTGCAGCTGGTGAGGTACAAGTCACAAGTGCCGCATGCCACTGACGGGAGTTGCTTTGGTGGGTTGCTTTGGTTCCTAGCGCAAGCGAGGAATGCCATTGGGTGGGCGGGGTGAACAATCAACATGGTTGCAGCGGCAACAATCTTCTACGCTTTGGTGGGGGAGCTACACCACTATGCACAGCCAAAACAACATTCACCCGGACATCAACCGCGTCTCAAGTTGAGACTTGGTGCCTTGGAGGCGACGAGGCAACAAAGCTTTGTTATCATTCCAATCTGTGACACCCGATATGTATGTGCAGCAATCGCGGTTTCAACATCCCAATCATGTGGAAGTTACTCCAGGTCGTTAGGCAAACAGAAACTAATCGATAGGAGCTAGGGGAAGGGTACATGCATTTCCATGCAGGTTTCGACGAAACGCCAAGGCATGCATGCTACAGGGGTCTATCTACTACTCCATATTTTGAACTTAATCGGCCTTCCATCACAACCAACCAACCAAGTCCCCGTGGCCTAATGGCTAAGGCGCAAGACTTCTATCTGGTTAACACCTAATATGATATCTTGAGATTGCGAGTTCGATCCTCGCCGGGGATTCATCACTGTGAATTTATTTTTTAATTCTTTTTGCTTCTTTCTGGTTGGCACCTTCCGATTCACGAGAAGTGTCTGCAAAATGGAAGGCATACAGGGTAATCATGGCGGTAACGGTGTACACACAGTTTGATGCATCCTACAACTGCCCGCTTGGTTCACCCCACTCCATCGACCGTGAAGTATTTGTTATGGTGCTGCACTGTCTTACAGGCTCTGGCATGGCTAGTCTAGTACATGGACAACGCACTGTAATTGATTCTTATTAATCTGCAATAGGTAATCTAATGCGAGATCGGTTGGAAATAGCCAATACGGTTCGTTATGTAGCTGCAGGAGCCTCACGGGGACCATGAGCTTGTAGTAAACCACCGCGATACTGTCGAGTGCCTCAAAGTCGGCAATTGCGCTAAAGGTGCCTAAGTTATTGCCAAAAACCGCAACATGAGACCACTCTCTGCAGACTTGGCCCCTGAACCAGCTGCGTGAGACGACAACGAGCGAAATCCTTTCGGCAGACGTCTTTGTTGACCTAAGATGTTTCATCGAGTAGCGGAATGCGCCCATGACATCGTAACTCACAGCTAACATAGAATGCGGGTATGTTAAATGAGTAGTAGACAGTTTGGGGGGGGGGGTCAAGTGTCCCACACGAGCTCATCCAGGTTGTACCGTACATAGCGGGATGTACAATGATAGCCTAGATGGTTGAACATTTGGAGATTGCGCCGGTGTTTTGCATTCCAGGCTGGGGAACTGCATCGTTTCACAAGAATATGGTTGCGACAACGTCAACCCCCTTCTCGGTCCATATGAGCTATGAAAAAAACCAGGTCGCATTGGCCAGGCTCTTTGAAGACCACCAAACAAAGCCTTGTGTGAAACCTGCACTTTTCTCAATGCCAACTGGCCTGGATAGCGCCCCTGTATTCCTTATGAGTGCATAGGTATTGGGAGACGGGTATGGTGGTGTGCTCGCCCGTCACTCGAACATTAAAATGTTCTTTTTTCTTTCATCTCCACTACGCAGTGGCGAATAAGAGTGGTACGTAATTGAGAGTTGTCTAAAAACAGGGTAAGGTTTACCGTCAGTGCCGTCCCTTCTCAGTGTTCGATGCTATTTCGAACCTTGAGTGAAGGTGTATGCAAGCGGTGGCATGATGGTATTATCCACGTCCTTTGGTCTGATGTGCTTCCGAACAAAAGTCAGCAGAATTCTCTCGACACTCTAGTTCCTAGCAAGTAATGGCGCTTATTGCCGTCATTAATCTGGGTAATCTCATCATTGGGTCTACATGTGTCGCTTGTTGACCGACTAGGGCACGAAGAAGAGTTAAACCGAACCAGACAATTTGCCTTCGTAGCATGACGACGAAAGATACTTCAAGCGCAAAGCCATAATGACTACAATGCCATGGAGTTTGTATTAGACCCTTGGTAACAACAATGATAGAGTGCTGATGCTAGTACTCGCAGTGACGATGGGTAAGATCAGATGTAATTGGCAAGTTATGCCGGTGAGCTGAGCTGCAGCTAATTGTTACCCTGGCTGGTAATATTGCGACACAGTAGACTGAGACCCTTGAGATTTTTTGTAACGACCCCGTCAGTCATAATTTCATCCTGGACGACCTCACTGATTGCAAGGGATTGACCGCCGCTCGGAGATGCGAATACGTCCCGAGCATCCAGTTCAATAGCCTGGTATGTCACGGGACTATGCTCACCAATGTCACCGCTGACCAGCCGCCGTGAGCAGAATTGACCCTTGGCATCTTTGAACAAATGACTCGCCAAGTAAATAGTTTGCCCCCAAGCAGTCACAAAGTCCGAGCAGAACTATTGCTCTCTTTCTTGGCACCCGGCGGACTGGGTAAGTATACGAGATGTACGGAAGGAATGCTTGTCTGAGAATTTCGAGACAATGGTCGTAGTTTATCTATTATGTGCATCAGGAAGTGACTTGCGTGTCTACTGTGCAATTGATCGTGATGGCCCCAAGCCCTGATGAACTCATGTCTACGGTACATGTGGCCAAGAGACTCGTGTACTGTCTCCATCGACACGAAAGCGAGGATGAGTTCCGATTTAAGGATCCGAGGATTTAAATGCCTCTATAACATGCCATTTGAGGCGGTAGCCCTTCCCAAGATGAATTGGGACGCGCCAATGACCACTCAACGGCGCAACCGGTTTCGGCCGGCTAGACAGGGATCTAATCTTATCAATCTAGCCTCGGTGGTGACATTCCGACCGTTGCATCATCATGGGATCACGCCCACCATGTTAGCGCGGCCAGCTCCGCTCTGCCTAGCCTGAATGCTTGCGCGTGTGGGCGCCAAGCCTGGCCACATTATTTTACAAGGTGATGCCTCCCCTCTTCCGTCCCTCTTCGCCTTTCCCCTCTAAACATCACTTCTCATGACAAGCTTGGTCCAGCTTGTCTTTGTCTCGACGACGAACTAGCGCCTCGTCGCATCAACCTCAACACCACACGGTCGCAACCACACAAGACTCTCCAGTCACTTCACCATGAAGCCTACCTACGCCGTCGCCGGCCTGGCAGCGACCGCACGCGCCTTCAGTCCCTCGGGTATCTTCAACCAAGATGTCGAGACCCAGGAGCACCGGATCCCGTCCACCTTCGAATCTGCCGTCATCGGCCGTCGCGTTCTCGCCCTCACTAAGCTCGCCACCATGTCGACCGTCTTCCCTGGAAAGAAATCCGATGGCAGCGTCAGCGAGGCCGAGCTGGGACTCGAAGGCCTCCCCATCGGAATGATGGACTACGTCGCCGACTGCGAAGAGGAGGGCGACCCAACGATCCTCGAGATCAAGATCGCCACGACATTCAAGAACGCCCGCGCGGGATCTAATCTGACCATCTCGATGAACTGGGTTCCTCCCTACCCGCCGGCGAGGCGCATGGCCTTCCTTTCACGCCTCTCATCCTACATTCCTTTCCTCGGCAAGTCTGAATACAACAGCTCGCCAGAGAAAACGCCCGACACGGTCGCTTATTCGGCCGCCAACTTACCCCGATACGCATTAATAGGCCGTCTCGAAGACATCAACCCTGACCCCGTCGAGGCTGTCAAACTTGCTGCTTGTTTCACTGCCAAGCACCATGATAGTAGATGGTGGCTTCCTGGAAATGCTATCCACGAGAGCCAGTGGTCCCGACTGGTCGTCGAGAAGGTCTACTTCGTGGGCGGTTTTGGCGATAGAGCATACATTGGATGGATCCCGATCGAGGAGTGGAAGTCTGTTACCCGCAGCGACTGGGAGGCCATCAGGCTTCCGGGTGAGAAGCCGGGCTGGAGTGAGTGGTCGGCTCAGGTGGAAGAGGTAGAAGATCTGTAAGCGTAGTGCTAAGTCTGGCAGTACCGAAGAGCGATAAGCGATGTATTAAGTACCTGGAGATAGGTTGTTTGTCAGAATGTAGTTATCAATGTGTGATAGGAGGAGGAGTCGTACTAGTAGCGACAACCCCATGGGTCAACGAATCTCATAGCAATATTTGACTTCATGAATGCCATAGCTAGAGCGTGGTCCAAAATGATCCGACCTCATGCCTGACCCGCAACTGGTCAAGCAGCCCTAGAGAAACTGGTCACTCCAGAATGCCCTTCCAAAGCCCCCCTTAGCTTCCAGTGCCTTTTTCACTTTGAAACAAAACATTCGGATAAGGCGTACCCTTGAACTCCGAATTTAACGGTCTTCCAGATGACAGCGACTCGCCGTGGCAAAGACGCCCAGAACTCATGTCCACTCCTTGTCACTGGTAACACCCCTCAATTGGCCACAGCAACGGAGTTCTCACTTCATTGCTGCGCTTCTTTTTTCGCTAATTTATGTTTGAGGCATCAAATATTACAGGGACCTAAATTATGCACAAGTTATTGTTCTTGGGGCTCCAAGTTATGGTCATGGCAGCGACTAAGACGAACTAAAAATATGGTAATACTATTGCTACGAGGCCCCAACTTTCACTCGTTCTGATTTCCGATCTCATCTAGATTGCCTAACTGACTTCTCTTCACCCTAGATCTTTACCGCATCGTCTATACACATTACGTATTCCGGCTCTACTGCACACCTTTCATCAATTTTAACAAGTACGACATGTTCAAGGCAGCATCTAACCACATGCTGATTTGAGCCAGCTGTCGCTACTATCATTGACGCTCCTCTCCTGGATGATGTTTTCTCTTCACCCTCCCATGCCTATGCATTGTATCAGACGTTGCCCAGCTCCCCTCATCGAATCTTCCCGGCTGACGTCCCACGTGTGGCAAAAGCTTATTGTCATTTAACACATAACTCATGGTGGGCTTGCCGTCAAGGTTTTGCAACTCATCAGGGTCTTCCACAGAAAAGCTTTTACACCGTCGCCACATTCAGCCATACCCACGGGATCCAGGTTCCCAAGCGAACAATCTCGTTGTCCCAACCGTAACGCTCTATCCCTGGTAGACGATCAAGATGAGCGGCAGCAACGCATTCGAGTTTTAGAAACCTACCTAGTCAAGGAATATGGTAATATCGTTATCAACCTACGCAGCTAGGGTTAATAAGATCACCTATCCTTCCAACATACGGAGGTTTGCAAAGTCACGCGGTACTGAGGGACCCGTGGGCGATATGTTAAGGAGAACCAACTTCTTAGGTTTATCAGCACACTCGAGTGTCCTGGCGGAAGATGCTCTGCAGTAGCCAAGAACCCGAAGAGGACATTCGACAGTTTAAAGGTGTTGGTGATGAACTCGGTGATCTTGACTACTCTTACCTGGTGAATTCATCATAAGTCCCCGGGTCTCTAACTTTGCATTATCCATAGTATAAGTTTCTGCCTGAATCATGGGTCTGCGCCGAATTAAGACAGCTTTTGTACATCGTGGCCTTCGACCATGAGTTAGAGACTTCTCATGAATTCGGAACAGGCACGATATCGCCCGGCTGTCAATAAATACGCCCCTCTGTTCGCTGGCGATATCTAGAAA